CTGCGTCTCGTTACTGGCGCGGCGAGCGACGCTCCCACATAATATTGGTTACGAATAAATGATGATCACGACTAAGACCAATACTAAAGTGTTCCTATTCTGATACTATTCAAATAAGATTTAACATTTGCACGACACGACACTTTGACCACACAGAAGACAGATGTGAAGTGGGGGCAATTCTGATGATTCTGATGAAGATCTGATGAGTGTGGTGCCGGAGGCCCAACTGTAGTCCCTTTTCCTTCCTTTTTCTTATACGAAAAGGATGGGAAGGGAACGTGGATTTGACGGTGGAGGAGACGAATAGGAAGGGGAAATATCCTCTTTATATGCGTTTTCTCCTCCGTCGATCAAGGGTAGGCAACGCTATAGCAAATTAGCGGATTCAGGTGGCCACTTGCTCGTTTGCCAACGGGGTAAAATAAAAAAAGATTAGGCCATGGAATCCAATAGAAACGATTGCCCTGCTGGGGACATATCGCTAAAAAGATACCTCGTCGAACCTTAACAATGACCATAAGTATGTGAAAAAAGAAGACACATATATTGCAATATTCGAATAAATCGAATATATAAAATGGTGGTTGCGGGCAACACTTACGAAACTTATCAACTATATCGTCACTTGATTGTCACTGTCACATAATAAACTGCAATTTGACATTGACATTAGTTGGAAATTATAAAAACAATCACGATAAATAGTTTTTTCCGAAGGAAAAATAATATAGTTGCGGTATAACCAATATATGCGGTACTCATGGCGCAATTTAATACACCACAGTCCTCAAATGATGAATCCCTAAAGGAGTTGTTCGATAATGCTATGAAAATGTTTAATGACATAGAAAATGGCAAAGAAGCTACCAACAGTGATCCGGTTCAGGTATGCACACACATTGTTTAATTCTATGAACGATGAAGATAAAATGACATTACTTGGACTTGTATTATTGGTCTTTTCATTATAAGTCTATTTTGGTGGTTGTGAAATTTGGTTATATCTCACATATTTTGTAATCTTAATTACCTTAATCTTTTAAATAAATGAAACAGTCGTTTTCTTTTAAAATGAGAGGAATTAAGTATTTAACGTATTTATTTATTTGGTTTTCAGATGACAATAAAATCTGCAATAGGTAAATTTGAGAAGACAACAAATCGTGTATCATTATTGGAAATGTTTAGTAAAAACGAGAGCTTTGATGAGTTGCCGACAGACAGCTTGCAGTACCTGCTGCTGCCTGCACTACTTGGGACATTGACACTGAAACTGTGCGGCAGACCAAGGAAGGATATAATTGATGTCGCAGAAGTCTACTTCAAGTATTTTACATATTTGATTATTCCTTTTTGCCAACTAAAATATTACTGGCCAACTACCTGTTGCATATAATCTATATTCATTACAATCTTATTATAGTTAAACTTTTTGGAGTTGCATAAATTTAAAAATAAATCCCTTTGCTCATATTGATCTCTTGGAAATTGAAAATACTGTAAGAAGCTATTAACTTGTGCCATAATTTTTTCTTTGGAAAGATACAATCATATTGTCTTTATTATTTTACAGAGATTTCCTAACAAGATGTAAAGACTACGGCCTCACAGATGTGATGGTGTCACAGAGTGAAAATGAAACACAAACCATAGCCAACCTACCACAGAGTGAAGTGGCTAAAATTACAAGTATGGTGAGTACAATAATCTATAAGTTTAGAATAAACAACTAAAATCGTTAACAATTTAATCCAATTCTTAATTCAAGCCTTACATTTTACACAAAATAAGTAAAATTTGGATTCTTAATTTTGCCTTAATTTATTTTAGCCTTGGGTAGAAATTCATCATCATCACCAGCTCACTATACGTCCCCACCGAGGGGCTCGGAGCCTACCCTAAAGTTAGGGTGTCAAGGCCATAGTCAACCACGCTGGCCAAGTGCGGGTTGGTTGACTTCACACATATCTTTGAATTTCTTCACCAATATGTGCAGGTTGCATCACGATGTTTTCCTTCACCGGGTAGAAATTAATATTTTATTAAACATCTGTGGTATTTTTGACAACTGGCAAAGTTACCTGTCAAGGAACAGATGGTGCTAGTAGTTTCGAAATATTTAATTCTTGAATTAATATAATTTCAGGTTCAATCTCGCGAAGCAAAAATAAAAAGATACAAGGAGGCTAAAGAATTAAAGGATAAATTAACAAACCTGTCTAAAGCGATGTCGTTGCCTGGAGTGGAGGAGGAGACAAAGCGGGAATATGCAAAGACTATGCTGCTGCATTACGTCAATCAGGCGGTAGACGAACTGGCCAGCATTGAACAGGAGAAACCTATATTAGAATACATGGCTAAACATAGTGGAGGTTAATATATTTTATATGATTATTTTTTAGATTAAAGGTAAAACACATCTGCTTTTGTGGAGGTCTATGGTTAGTGTTCAATATAGATTTTAGCGAATTTAATTGGCATTATTACCAACTTACCTTTCCTAATTTAATTTATGCGGAAAACTGTTAACAGCTGTTTCTTATCTTAATCGTGATTTTAGACAAGTTATAAAAGATGTTTTTAATATATTTATATATTTTACCGTTACAGAAACATTTAAATAAACAGAATAACTATAGTTATTAGTATAAGTTAAATATATTTCACTCTAAATATTAATGATATACATCATTTCAGAGCCGAAACCAAAACAGAAGGAGCGTTCAACACCACTAAAGCCAGTTATAATAACTCGTGATGCGATACAGAAAGCGGTGTACGGCGCAGGATACCCCTCCCTGCCCACCATGACTGTGGAGGAGTTCTACGATAAACGAGTTAAAGAGGGAACGTAAGTATATTCTTTTAAAATATCTCTATGTCTATTGAATTATTTCAATAATACAAGCTTACATATTGTTAATTTGCAGATTCCCTGGACCTAATATACCTCATACAAGGATACAATCTGCTGAAACTGATCAAGATGAGGCGGAACAAATACATAAGGTTAGTTTTAAATTTCATTTACTTTTGCTTGTTTCTGTTAAAATGCTATCTTGGTGCATATACAGGCAAAATTTTAACTGTCAGTTGAAATGTACACTTAGTTTTGTTGTACTCGCAGTTTAGCTGAACAGTTCAACTCTTTAACTGTCAATTAGAATTGAATCTGTATAAAATATTTAAACATTTTTCATGTGTTTACTGCTCATGCTTGTTTATATAAAGTGTTTTTAACCAACTTCACAAAGGAAGGTTATCAATTGGTTTGTATTGTTACAGCATTTATTTTATGTTTTGTTTAGGAGCGTCTCGTTGAAGAAGATGATCCCGAGGAGTTGGAGCGGCAACGCAACATGGACGAGTACAAAGACGACCACCGGCGCGGCTGGGGCAATAGGTACAACAGGAGTTAATGACAACGCCATCTAGCGACAGATGTGATAATTGTCCAGACGAAACAACGCCATCTAGTTAACGGGACTTACATAGTCCAAATTTTTAACAATGTTTAACGACATCTATTGGTGTTTTCGTGTAATTATTGATTTGATTTTCAAATACTCCATGAAACAGAATTGACTATTTTAGGTTTTCCTATTGGTCGTAATGTACTAATGTATGCGAATTAAAATGTTTCAAATAAGAAGTTGTTTCATTTTTCATAAGTATTTACCATAGACGTTATTTGTAATGGCAATTTAGTAGTTCATGTTTTTACCTGAGACAAGATTGTTTGATATAGTGAAAGTTTTTAACAATTTTTCCTCAATGCAGTTATTTTCTTTTCCTTTTTTTTAAATTAGTGAAGGGTTATCACACTATTTAATGAAAACTTCTAGATCTATTGCTACAGTACATGACGCATAGACCCAAAATTGTGGTCGTTGCGTTTATGTCAAATAAAAAAACAAGAAATCCATAAAGTCGTTTATTCTTTTTAAATCGAATTTACCGTATAAAAGTCACGGAGATAATTACAAGAAAAGTATTATTTCACATAAATTATGTACATAAGCTATTGAACGAAAATCTACATTTGTACTGTAATGTGTTATGAATTGGTGCGTATGTACATAATAGTGTACATAACTGAGAGTTTTCTCACGGCATTTCCTGGTGCGGCGCCCACGCTCCTCCAATGTTTTCCAATCAAGACGGAGCTCACAATTGACAGGTTAAATAAAAACATTAGCGTGTTATGTAACAACAATCTATCTGAACTGAACATTTTGTAAACAAATGCTGCACCTTATGATGTTGCAGTTAACGAATATACGAATATTACGAAATGATAATATAACAGCATCTGGTTTTGCGCATTTAGGCATATTAAGCGTTGTTATGAGTAATATTGACTACATTTTTATATGTAAAACTAAACGACCAGTGGTTACGCTTAAATCCTGTAGGTTTTTAGACTGCCTGTTTTTGTTTGTTCAATAAATAAAAAAAGCCTACTACGCTTAGGTCTGACAGTTTTAAATAAAGTTAAAATTAAAGTTATGCATACACACTAACACTTTTAACTGAATATTTCGACTTTTCTTTTGGGCTGATCGTATGTAGCGGGCTTAGTATATACAAGTTCACATGAATCGTACCCAAATGATCATAGTGCCATTATTGGTTTTCAGTCAAGAAGAAGAATTTTTTGTTTCATTTGTTCAATAACTATAAAGATAAGCATTAGTTTTTCATAATGAACAAACTATATCTCTTATTGTGTAATAAGAGGAAACATAACGTGTTATAAGTATGTCGTATCAGGAAGCCATGAGTTGTTTAGCGATGCGAGATGCATGAATGGCTCAAGGTGAGGGAGACGGAAGTATACCTGCGCATTATATATTTCCACAAATATGTCAGATGCAGCACGGAACTCCGTTATAGTACAGGAGGACAGCGAAGCAGAGCAGACATTTGCTGTTGTTTGAAACACTTGGGAAGAAATTCCAATTCAATAGCAGTACTGAATTGTTTACTGCTCTACCTTAATGTTTTTTTATATCGTTGCCCATGAACAGTCGCAGTAGCAGATGCGTTGCCTACCGTTGATCGACGGAGGAGGAGATGCACATAAAGAGGATATTTCCCCTCCCTAGGCGTTTCCTGCGCCGTCAAATCCACTTTCCCTTCCCATAGTTTCCGAATAAGAAACGGTGGGAAGTAAAAGGGACTAAAGTTGATCTTCCGGCACCACATTCATCAGACGAAACGCGGAATTACTCCCACTTCACGCCTGTATTCTGTTTGGTCTTGGTTTCACACTGGGCGAGCCGACCCATTC